AGACAGGAGCGGCGACGGGGGTGGTGTGGCGGCGATGGGGGGGAGGGAGACGATGGTTTGCGAGAGGGAGAAGGAGACGGGAGGGAGATGAGTAGTCAAAAGGTTTTAGGATTTGTTAAGTTTTTTTTTAATGTAGGTTACCTTCTATTCAGGTTATAGGTTACAATTTTAAGGAATGAGGATCTATTTAACATGTTTTAAAAAGTCCAATGACTTATTTAACAAGTTCTAGAATGTCCAATGATTTATTTGTTCCAAAAAATTGTCCAAAGACTTAATCGTTCCAAACAGTAAAGTCCATTGGGTTTTTTTGGACTTTTCCCTTTATGTAAGCATTAGTAAATCAAATATACAAGAGATCACACGTTTAAATCTCCCATATTTCCGATAAACCTAAAATTAAAGGGAATTTAAATACAAAAAAATTCACAATATCATATGATAATTAATAACCTAAAACCAAAAAATTCAGTTTACTCTAAAAAAACTTAATGTCATACATATCGAAACCATATCGAATAATACAAAACCATATCGAATAATCTTCAAGACATATCAAATAACTATATTATGAATTATCGATTTAGTTAAATATATATATATATATATATGTAATTTATTAATTAATGTGTATATATAATAGGTACCGAGGCAGAGAACACATACCTAGGGCTGTAAACGAACCGAACGTTCAGCGAACCGTTCGTGAACTGTTCGGCGAGAAGTTCGTTTATGTTCGTTTATTTAATAAATGAACGAACATGAACAAATTTTTTTGTTCGTTTAGTTAAACGAACGAACATGAACAAGAGTCTCGTTCGTTCATTTATGTTCGTGAACGTTCGTTCATTTATGTTCGTGAACGTTCGTTCGTTTATGTTCGTGAACGTTCGTTCGTTTATGTATTAATTTTAATATATAATTTTTATTGATTTAGTTTGAATTTAAATTTTAAAACCTTTTTAATTATTGGGCTTTTAAGAGGGTTTAGGCCTTTTTAATATTGGGCCTTTTTAATAGGGTTTTGTTGGCTTGTCTTCTAGTTCTAGGTCATACATCGACTGGTGTGGACAATGGACGTGTGGTGGAGTGGTGGTCGTCGTGAATGGCATAAGCAAAGAGGACCGTGCTGTAGATCAATCGCCAATCTTGAAGGGCAGTATCTAGGTATGTAACCGTATGTTCTCTCAAATACACTTGTTTTCTCACAATGCTATGCTTTCAAGACCAGTTATTTCCCAACACACACACACACAAAACATGTAATCTAACTCGTGAAGGTCAGTATCTGATACCAAGATGAGTGTATATATGGTTGGACGGAATGTCCTTGTGACTATATATATATATATATATTAATGTATGTATATATGCGTGTAAGATGAGTGTATATTGCTAACCAAATCCAAGTTATTCCCAGTTTCTGGGGTTGGAGCTACCTGGTTCAACAAAAAGAAAGAAAAACGTATTTGTGTTTAAGAGAATTTTTTGGACTATTTCTACCAAAAATCGTAGGTAAGTGGTTTGAATTTTTGGACTATATTATTGTCCTCCGCACACAGAAGAACCACGAATCTCATCATCCTAATCTCTAGATCTATGGCTTCATTCGGTATCTGATTCTTGGAAATCAAGAACAGATTGATAGGAGATCTGGGCCATGTGCCAAAACATCATTGTTAAAAGTGTTTTAAAATAATAAATGAAGTACAGTGCTGAGCCATGTGCCAAAACATCAAAAGCAGAAAACATCACATATATAAACCAATTATTGCAATAAATACTAATGAATTGACTGTTTAGAACCAGCACAAAGTCGGGAGAGAGTGTAACCATCTGTTGACAGTTCGTGATATTGGGCATACTAATGAATTGACTGTTTAGAACCAGCACCACAACAATATATCAATATAGATACATTTATCTCGCTGTCTTATTCCAAGTTATGTGGTTAAAATGTTTGATTATTTAAAATGTTTTTTTATTTAAAATATTTTTTTTATTTAAAATGGTTTTTTGCATTTTGTAGATGTCTGATGTCTCTTGTAGCGGTCCATATTTCTTTCATGATGATTTATATTTAGATTGGATGCAATCGCCTCAAGAACTTGAATCAACGGAAATTGAATCAAGTGCAAACACATCAGAATGGAAAGTACTCCTGAAGTGGTTGTTATCGGATCGAATGATGGAGACGACGTTGTAGCAGCCATTGATAGTGGTAGAGAAAAGACCAACATAGTCAACAATGAATAATCTACTCCATATGCTAAAAGGAAAAGAAAGAAGACTTCAGGAGTTTGGGAACATTTTCGCTTGGTGAAGTTGGCTAATGGAACTGAAGTTTGTGAGTGCATCCATTGTGGTGAGAAGATAAAGAAACTTAAAGATGGAACCAC